GTTGAAGCAGCCATGTCAGGGAGACGCTGTGTGTTTCTAGGTGAAAGCAAACGCACTTTATTTGGCCTTCTGAAAGTAGATGCATTTAGGAATCTTTAAGATCACTTGCAACAGAACAGCAATGCATTTTATGGATGACCGTTTCGTGAACCTAGGAGAGGAGGTAATTCTGACTTTGCTTTGACAATCTGGCACTTCTGAATCAGCTACTGTAAGTATGTTTTGTTACTAGTTTAAGTATTTGCTATTGACTGTTCAAATGCGGAGTTTTGCGCATTGTGTGTGTGTGTGTGTGTGCGCGCGTGTGTGTGAGAGAGACAGCGTCACATCAAAGTGGAGTTAGCTGGCTTAACCGCGGCTTGTGTACTGCATCATTACTGTGTCTGTTCCCCTTTCGTGCTTGAACTAATGACATTATTTACTGTCTTTACATTTATCTTGAAAGATGAAGCTCGTGATTATGGTAAGGGTACATTTGCGACGGTACATATGGTACATTTCCGACGAGTGCTTGCGGTGTTCGGCCAATCACAATGCACTGGGTCAGCTGGCCAATCAGAGCAGACTGTGCTTGTCGGAAGGAGGGACTTTGTAGAAAGCGAAGCGTTTGGGAGAGGCGTGGCATAGAGGACCTACAATAATGTACAGTATTTGAAAAATAAAGCATGTCAACATATTCTGTTACACCAAATACACAAAATAATGATCTTTAAAAAAGCATCATATGACCCCTTTAAGTAAGGATTTAGAAGAAAGGATCTGGTTGTAGTACGGCAAAGTATGTAATATTTTGCCAAGCACACTATTGATGTTGGTGCAAGACAACTTGACATCTTCAGAGACAAAAATCTCTTAGTCACTGACCACGGCTGGATAAACATCAGATCAGACAGGATAACACCATTTGTATAAAAGGATTACACTATAATCAGTTGAACTTGTGGCATCACGTGACCTCACTGCAGGTTTGCTGATCAGAACAGTCAATACTGCTTACACATACTGAAATCATTCAGAAAGTGACTTACAGGTGGAGGTAAAAGTAGGTGCTTCCATGCATGGATCAGCGTCTCAATGATGCCCTCACCAAACAGCCCTGCATCTACCGTCTCTGTTACAACCAGTGACACTCTAAAGAACGGAACATAATCAACAAATTAAGTTAAATTAACTTAAGACATTTTTTAAAGCAATATTTTTTTACAAATAATATATGATTTTTTTAAGGTTTGGGTCAGTGTGATTAAAAAAAGAAAGAAAATTATACTTTTATTTAACAAGGACACATTCAAATGGGGGGGGGGGATATATTATTGTTGTTCTTTCTATTGATGAAAGAATAAAAAAAAGAAAATGTAGCACAGTTTCTACAAAAATGCTAAGAAATACAACTGGTTTCAACATTGATAATAATAAGAGATGTTTCTTGAGCAGCAAATCAGCATATTGGAATGATTTTTGAGGGATCATGTGACGATAATGTGAAGACTGGAGTAATGGCTGCTGTAAACTAATAAATTACAGTTTAACATTTATTAAAATAGAAAACAGTAACTAAATTCTAATAATATTTCACAATATCACTGTTTTTACTGTATATTTTGATCAAACAAATGCAATCTTTATGAGACATCTTACTGGCATCCCAAACTTTTGAATAGTAGTGTAAATTATACATAAGATTATATCATAAGATTTATGCTTGGAAATGTTTTTTTAACTATGTCAATATGAATCTGGTTACTATATAAAAAAAGATATACCTGTTTGGAATGTCTTTTGGAATTTTCATGTCTAGAGACTTCAGGTGAACAATCTTGATGCTATCTGCCATCCCATTGGCTGAGAGCACCTCGCATGCCAGCTCATACATTGTCTTTGACAGCTCACAGGCATAGACCTCAGCGGCGCCTGCCATCTTTGCACACATACTAACATGCCAAACAAAAAGCATTAAAACAAACTCAACTGTATATCAGTTGAAACAGACATTTGTTAAATAACAATGTTATGTAACACGTTTCTGAAAAATCTCACCCGAGGATGCCTGTGCCAGTTCCAATATCCAGAACAGAGCTGCATCCTCCCTCAACAGCTTTCTTAATAGCCAGCTGGTACTTGTGGTTCCGCCCATGGTCGTTGAGCATTAAGAAGTGCCAGCGTTCCACCAACCAGTTGGCAACACGATAAAAGTTCTCCTTTGCCTCTGGGAAGTCTGGCCGGAGTTTAAGGGCTTTGTAAAAATGCCCAGCAGCTTCATCCCGAAACCCCATTCTGGGAAAAAAAAAAACCTAACAACTGACTAGGGGTTATGTTTGTAAATGAGCAACATGGTTTGAACCAAATTTGGGGTCAGTATGTGTAGTTGTTGTTGTTAAAACAAACTCAACTGTATATCAGTTGAAACAGACATTTGTTAAATAACAATGTTATGTAACACGTTTCTGAAAAATCTCACCCGAGGATGCCTGTGCCAGTTCCAATATCCAGAACAGAGCTGCATCCTCCCTCAACAGCTTTCTTAATAGCCAGCTGGTACTTGTGGTTCCGCCCATGGTCGTTGAGCATTAAGAAGTGCCAGCGTTCCACCAACCAGTTGGCAACACGATAAAAGTTCTCCTTTGCCTCTGGGAAGTCTGGCCGGAGTTTAAGGGCTTTGTAAAAATGCCCAGCAGCTTCATCCCGAAACCCCATTCTGGGAAAAAAAAAAACCTAACAACTGACTAGGGGTTATGTTTGTAAATGAGCAACATGGTTTGAACCAAATTTGGGGTCAGTATGTGTAGTTGTTGTTGTTGTTGTTGTTTTCTTCATTAAAGACATTATATTGTTATTATTGTCTATTCACTAAAATACTCCTGAAAAAAATAAATGTAGCAAGGTTTTTTTTAAGTTCTCCTTTGCCTCTGGGAAGTCTGGCCGGAGTTTAAGGGCTTTGTAAAAATGCCCAGCAGCTTCATCCCGAAACCCCATTCTGGGAAAAAAAAAAACCTAACAACTGACTAGGGGTTATGTTTGTAAATGAGCAACATGGTTTGAACCAAATTTGGGGTCAGTATGTGTAGTTGTTGTTGTTGTTGTTTTTTTCTTCATTAAAGACATTATATTGTTATTATTGTCTATTCACTAAAATACTCCTGAAAAAAATAAATGTAGCAAGGTTTTTTTTTAATTCAGTTTTGATATAAATAAATGTTTCTTGAGCATAAAAAAAGTTTATCTGAATTTCTGTGACACTAAAGTAAAGACTGGAGTAATGGCTGCTGTAAATTCAGCATTGCTATCACAGGAATTAAATTCATTTTAAAATATATTAAAATAGAATCACTTATTTTAAATTGTAATAATATTAAATGTATAATATTATATAGGTATATGTATAATATTAATGCATAAATGTATTCTTGGTGAGCAGAAGAAACTTCTTTAAAAAAATGTTAATGTATACATGATATTCTATCTATCCATCCATCTATCTATCTATCTATCTCTTGGTACTTTACCAATACTAAACCAATATAATAATATTAACAACAACAATAATAATAAACAAATAAAAACCTGAAGAGATGCTCTCCCATGCTGTTCACTATAACCTCATCCACTGGAAACAACTCCATAGCTTGTTCATAGCAATTAAAGAGGTCCTGGATACGTCCAAGAGAGTCCAGCTCGTCTGTCCACTGAAACAGAGTAAATCTAAAGGATTCCTGTAAACACAAAAACACACATTTACCGGCTCTGAATTAAGGTTCTGAAGATTTTTCAACTTTAGATACGTCATTTCACCACCACACACTGTTGCAGTAAACAGACTGATCAGGCAGACAGACTACAACGTCAAGGAAGCACAATCTTACATTTGCAAAGTCTTTTAGAGCTGGGGCAAGGTTTAGAGCCAACAGGTAGTGGACAAAAGCAGTGCCGTAGTCCTGACTGAACAGACACTGCTGTGCGCTTTCCAGTGATCTCGACACCAGCTCATTTCTCACAGCATCTTCTCTCTGAGCTCGTCTATGACGCCTCGTCCTCTTTGGTCTTGTAGTGGCATTAGGCATGTTTTCTGTGAATGACAGAACTGACCACGTACTGTATCACTAGCTAACGTTTAATAAATTGAACGACAGACAAGGAACGCTTCTGGGAAAAAAATACCAATAGAAAATATTTCCACCAGTGTCAAATATAAACATACGAATGATTTAGTGTGAAATGTAACAATTAAGTTTCAATTTGAGTACACTGGATGTTTGGAGCTAGTAGCTATATTTACTCATGTAATGGTAATCAAGTATAAAATGACTAATTATAAAGCATTAATAAGTAAGATTTAATCCACAAAAGCTGCTAGTTAAAAATTACGTACCGTACATAGCAAACGTGATGTGGTAATAAGAAAAAGAACGTTTTCATACATTTTCATATATCATAATAACATATCTGAACATTACATAGTTTTCCTCCACAGATATAAGACACTACAGTAATTAAAAGCTGTTATTTAATATGCATAATTTATTATTTAATTGAACAATTTCAGCATTATTTGGCTTTTGGAATTATGGTTCTTTAAGTTACCTGTCTCAGGTTTTCTAGTTGAGATCGCTGGACTGTATTTTTTAAATCAATTTCCCTGAAGGCTCCAGCCTGCAGCTATCATTAAACCACAAACTGCGATTGAAATTGTTTTTATATAGTTTTATCTCTATATTTATGAGCTACTTCAGAGCAGCTCTGCTCCTGTACTGCAGGTCCGCTCTGCAGAATCAGGCGGACGGAAACAACATCCGCTCTTTTAGAGTTCCACATAACATTTGAACACGCTACTGACAACCCATTAGCATTATCGCATTTACGGAGTTTCTCGAGACACGAAACAATTGATACGTATGCCAAATGATTTATTCAGATGGAAAAGACGTACATTTCCATAACAACTCGTTATTCCCTCAAATATCTGGGTTTTCCAGAGAGCCAGGCGTGATGACGTCACGCGAGAGTCCTGCACGCGGGAGGAGACTCGCGCGAGTCGACTGTCATTCGCGGACCAAAACCCTGACTGGACATTATTACCTTTATTTCAGTAGATATCCGTGTAGAGGAGAGTTGTTTTATCATATCTTGCGAGAGTTTAAACCTGGAACATACTTAATATAATAACGTTTCCCAGGGCCACGTTTACTTGTGCGACTTGGAAAGAGTTTTATTCCCAAGAGAACTCCCGACGCGTTTGGTCTTCCTAAGATATTGGAGGACGCGTTTATAAAGGCTTTTTAGGGCAGCTTTCCGTTCCCTTTTGAATACTATTTCGTTGTTCGACCGGTTTTTATTCATTCGCTGGTCGCTTTCTATTCGATTTAAACGCTAGCTAGTCTGTAAACTAGCTGAGTCCAGTAAAAATGGGGTTACACCCGTTGGAGTTTAGTGAGTGTTACCTGGACTGTCCTGCTTTCAGGGAGAAAATCAAAGCTCATGAAGCAGAGCTGGACAAAACCGGCAGGTTTATCAAAGAGCTGTATAAGGATGGAAAGAATCTCATCAATGCCACAAAACGTAAGTGATATGCCATTTTTAGCTCTGCTTTTAAAGTTGATGTGTAAATAATTGTGCTTCAGATGAAATTAAAGCTTGCCTTTCAGTCAACATGTGATCCAAACTATGCAAATGGCAGATAATATCAGCAACTCAAATCAGTCAAACAGGTCTTGTAATTTTGTCAAGGTCACTATGTCATTCCTATTTACACTTTTACCCGAGACATTGCTGGAGTAGTTTTGCTGGTCTCGAGAGTAACATGGTTCATTTAACCTAGTGGAGCGCAGAGAAAATGAGCTTGCGTGGCATAACTTTTGCTGACCTCATCCAGTTTTGGGGTTATGATTGACTGTATATGATCTGTGTGCAAATCACCAGGTGTCCTACAAGTCTGCTTTTTGGTGTGTGCGCACATTAGGGATTTTTGCAGCACTTTTGTAAGTTATTTCGAAAGGCCACAATTTTCTCAGTTCAGACACTTGCAGTTATGCATCTGCATTTGTGGCTTATCACCTCTGTCATGTGACCCACCCTTTCACCTCCATGTGTAAAGTTTTATTGTAAACATTGCATGTCCCTTCCCATTATGCATTTATTATATTCTGCCTTTTTCCTAGCGTTTAGGACAGGGCAGAACAAATTGGCTAAAAATAAAGCTTGCGTATTACGCCTTGGATGTTCAGACCTTTTTTGGATATGTTTGAATTATTGGGATCTGCAGTGTCTGGGTAGAGTTATGTTTAATATGATTGTTCGTTCTGATAGCAGGACATTGTTTTGTGCAAATAAAAATGGATTACCAAAAGTTTTTTGGTGCTGGAGAGTTTTATACTGAAGAAATGTTGGCTAAATGTTTCTTTTAGATTTTGTGGTTGGTTCCTCATATTTTTTTCAGTCTTGTGTGTGTGTGTGTGAGATGCACTAATAGTGTCACAGCTTCTAGATCATGCTAAATATGGATAAATTAAGATGCGCAGGACAACAGGCTCATGGTACAGCCCACACAACCGCTGTCCACATAATAATCATGGATTGGTTAGCGTAGTTTTACTTGGCTTAAAACATGGGAAACATAAAGCAATAACCAATAATAACATATATAACTAATGAACTGACCATTGGTGGGCCCTTAGGTTGATTTAGTTAAAGGGGTCATATGACGTTGCTAAAAAGAACATTATTTTGTGTATTTGGTGTAATGAAATGTGTTTATGCGGTTTAAGGTTTAAAAAACACATTATTTTCCACATACTGTACATTATTGTTTCTCCTCTATGCCCCGCCTTCCTGAAACGCGTTGATTTTTACAAAGCTCATCGGTCTGAAAAAGCGAGGTGTGCTCTGATTGGCCAGCTATCCAGTGCGTTGTGATTGGCCGAATACCTCAAGCATGTGACAGAAATGTTACGCCCCTTAACATTAGGGCTGGGCAAAAAAATCGATTTTTCGATTAATCGTCTTTTTAAAATGACATTGATTTGATATCGATTCTCAAAAGCCGCGAATCGATCTTTTCCGGGATTTATTTAAGCACATTTAAAACAAGATCTGATTAATGTGAATCTTATCATTAGTCTTCTCCACTAGATGTCACCCTTATTTACCTTGCGCGATGTTACAACAGAAAGCCTGTCATTCATTCAGCTATAAATCTGCGGAAGCAGTTGATATCACGCATAAGGTGCCATGATTTCCCCAATGAATGAATGGCGGATGGCGCGGCACACTTTGTTTACTACACATATACTAAAGCGAGGATGACGCTCGCGGTGTTTTCAGCTTCTGCCGTCTCACTATATGATGATATGAACACGAATGTCATCTCCAGCTGCTCTGAGAGTCACTTCATTAGCATTTACCGTTTCATTTGAGAAAACTACCGTCATATCACATACACAGCAGCTGCAAGTTCTTCACGGCCACCCGTCAAAATAAAAGTTTAGTTTAACGTTACACTGTCAGAATATATTGCTATAGTCTGAAGACTCAATGCTACTACTGCTAATACATATTAATAAATCTTTACTTTTAAAGGAATAATCACATCTGTTTTATTTTTAATTTTAACAGTAAACCTCTGTTGTGCAGCACTTTGTTTGCCAAAAAAATAAAAGGGTTTAATTTTCATTTGATTATAAATTAAATTAATGTTTTATGCCTTCATCTGATTACCAGAAAAATTAAGAACATTTTATAGGGCCCTACTATTGTTTAAAGAGGACCATATAGAAAAAAAAAGAATAGGTTTAAAATGCAGGCATGTGGTTCTTAATTTCTTTTTATTAATTCACTATTTGTAAACTGATGTTTACTGTTAATTTTTTTGAAATATCAATAGCATTTGTAAAAAAAAAAATCGAAAATCAAATCGAATCGAAAGCTTGCGAATCGAAATCGAATCGAATCGGGACATCTGAATCGATAACCAGTCCTACTTAACATACTGTGATGCCATCTCCCAGCAGGACGAGACTCAGTCCAGCTGCTCTGCTCGTGCACATCCCATCATCGGTTCTCTTTTAGCAGTTCAGTCAATGTACTGCTAGGAGTAACTGAATAACTCGGGATATTGGTTTATTTCGCGTCAGAGGGAGTGCCAGGCATGTTTATAAACTGAATAACTTAAGTAATTTGTTAATTAGTGCGTACTGGAGACGTGAACCGTTTCAAATGGGCGTGTTAGAACGAGACGTTTTAGGTAGGTGTGGTTGGCTCTTAACTTTTATAAAGAATATCTCTTTGGATTTGAGACTTTAGTCTTTGCAACTTTACAGATCTTCTTTATGCACCAAGAGCTTGTAACACTCCAAAGAGAAAGGAAAAATTGAACTCATGGGTTTCCTGCAGGAATAAGAAAAACAAGCATAAACTTTATCCTTTGTGTCCACGTTATTTTTTTTTTTTTGAAGTTTTTTAGTGCTGTCATGCAGCAGGTATTGTGTTCAATTTGTGTTTATATACAATGCTTAAAGTATTTATAATTGTGTACCTAGTTTTGAATTCAGTCAGTCTGTTCAATCAGTTTGGAATGCACATTTTATACTACAGACAGATAAATGACTTCCTCTTGCCATTTTGCAATATGTATCCATTGTAATTTTTGAAGGTAATGCTGCATTAATAATAATAATAAAAGTAATTAATAATAATAATTTTATTATTATTATTATCATCATTATTATTTTGATAAATTGTTTACTTATTTTTTTCAATCCAATTTATAAAGAAATGTATTCTTTGTAATATCTTAATTAGAGCCCGACCGATATATAAAGTTTTGCCGATATTATCGGCCGATATGAGCCTTGTAACCGATATATCGGTATCGGTGGGTATGCCGCCGATATTAATTTTTTTTTACAGAACATATAATGCAGATAAAATGCTTGAAATGGTGTAATTACTTAGTTGTCCAGCAGAGCGTGCTCCATTGTTTGCTACTGGCGACCTGGATGAAACGCTTTAAAGCTTAAGTCTATGGAAAACCATTGAAACTTTGAACGGCTATATCTCCATAACGGCGCGGCGAATCCGCACCAAATTCGGGGGATCCCTTCAGCTCAAAGAACCCTCTCGAACGAATCGAGTGTACGTCTAGAGGGCCGCGTTCAAATGAGACCACCCCCGCATCGATAGCCCCCGGGGTTCGGGAGTTACGGGTGGTTAAATTCGTGGTCCGGCGCTGACCGATCAAGCGATCCCGACGCGGGAGGGTGGTGTTCGAGAGGGCTGCTCGAGCTGAAGGGAGATCCGCCGGCGTGTTCGCGAGATAGTGACACCAGTCACCACTTTCACTTCTGTAAGGAGGTCTCTTGTTCAGGCAGCAGCATTTAAGTTGTCTTATTCGACCGTAAGTGCCCTGTGAAGTGGACTTCACATGAAATTCTGCCATGATTCCAGTTCCAAGGAAACGTACACGTTACATTCAAAGGGCATTAAAGTACGCGAGACGTGAATTTATATTGTATTTATTTACAGAGGTATATTATGTCACACTTCTCTAGTAAGTTTCGTCTGTGTGTGAAGACAGTAGCGCAGATCCGTGAATTAATTGTGAATTGTTTGTATGAAGGCTAAATACCAATAAAAGGTGAACATTTATTTATTTGCACCATTTTTTCCCTAAAATATTTTAGTAGGTTTCATAGAGTTGGCAAATTAATTTTTCATAAGTTTGTAGGTACAGACATCTGTTGTGGCCGTTCTTGGCCGTTTTTATGAGGCTTTTTTAATAGTGCTCATACCGATATCGGAATTATATCGTATCGACCGAAATTAAGAAATATATTGTGATATAAATTTTGGCCATATCGTCCAGCCCTACTGTACTCTATATATAGTACCAGTCAAATGTTTGGACACACGAATGGGAAAGTGTCCAAACTTTTGACTGGTACTGTACTGTAATATACACAAAGATTATCGGCCGATATATCGATATAGGCCTTTTTTTACTCCCTAATATCGGTATTGGTATCGACCCCCCCAAAAAAACCATATCGGTCAGGTTCTAATCTTAATGTACTTTGAAATGAAAGCATAAAAAAAAACAATAAAAAAATGAAATCATGGAATTGTTGTTTAATTATATAATAAAGTAACATAAATAAAATAATAATTAAAATTTTTGACTTGTCAATGTAGCCACCTTTCGAAGATATAACAGCTAAACATACCTGTTGCATTCTTTCTACAATGGAAATTATATATTTGGAGTTTTAATGGAGGTGTATGTCTGATCCATATATGTCAGTACTGTAGCAGCCAGTAATCTGTAAGTATAGAAGCCAGTTTGAGCATTGAAAATCTCTGTTCATGGTTTCATTTTTAAAATCTGAGCTGCACTGTTGGGATCACTAGTAAGTGGAAACAATTAAAGCTTTAGACCATATCCCAAGTAACTCAATATCCTCTTCAAAGTCCACACTTTAGTGACATACACTGCCATTCAAAAGTTTGGGATCAGTAAGACTTGTAATGTTTTTCTCTTATACTCATCATGTCAGGCCTGTGTTTCT